CACCCTCACACACACACGCGATTTGTGTGAGAGAGCGCGCGCTCGTGTGTGTCGAAGGTTGAAAATGGCGGCGGCGGGGGTGATGAGACTTGAGGGACTGGGTCGGAGGGCCTGGGGTGGTGGTGTTGTTGGTGTGCGGGGGCTTCGGCATAGTGTGGCTCGGTTGGGGTCGGCGCCGGGGCTCACGTTGGTGGAGAAGATTGTGCAGCGGCATCTGGTGCGCGATGATGCGGATGATGGTGAAGGAGCGCCGGCACGCTCAGGGCAGATTGTCAAGATCCGGCCTCGTCATGTCATGACACACGACAACACGGCTGCGGTTATGGCCAAGTGCGCTCAATATCTCAGTTCTTGCCCTTCTCGCTGCATACTGGGTCTGCCCCTTGGACCGTGCCTGATCCCTCCAACACGCGACACCTGCCGCCCTCTTGCTCTTCTAGGTTTGAGCAGCTCGAGGTGAAGCAAATGTATAGCTCGGAGCAGCCCGTGTTCACCCTGGACCACAACGTGCAGGATCGCAGTGGTTGGACAACTGCTGAACACCCCGCCCCAGCAACACTCAGCACTACCCTGTCCTCGCATCTCATTGGGTTACGCGACCTCGCGTGGCTTGGGCGTAGAGAAAAACCTGCGCAAGTACCAGGAGATCGAGGCGTTTGCCGCGAGCCATGGGGTTGACTTTTACAAGGCCGGTAGGGCACATGGAGTTCCCAGGCTACCACTCAACAGCAAACGAGCACCTAGCCCTCGTGTTGCTGTGTGCTGACACTCATCGCTGCTCCGGGCATTGGACGCTAGGCGAGGGCATTGGCCACCAGACCATGTGTGAGCGAGGCTACATTACGCCTGGTAGCATGGTTGTGGCTAGCGACTCGCACTCCAACATGTACGTGAGCCTTTGCTTGCCGCTGTCGCACTGGGCTGGGTTGGCTCTTCCTCGATTTCTTTGTTGTTGGCCGAGCAAATGCCAAATACCATCTCCGACCCCCACCCCCCGCGATCCGCCGGCCTCTCCAGGTACGGCGGCTTGGGTTGCCTGGGAACCCCGGTCGTCCGCACTGATGCGGCCGGTATTTGGGCTTTGGGACACACCTGGTGGCAAGTGCCTCCCGTGGTTCAAGGTGAGCCTTTGCTCTCACGGGTCCTGGCGTCCTGGCACTCATAACGACCGTCCTTGTTCACTCGGGCAACCCGCGACACATCCCCCTCACATGTGCTTGACCTGCAGTCAAGCTGACTGGACAGCTGCAGCCTGGAGTCTCGGGCAAGGACGTGATTGTGGCTCTGTGCGGCGCGTTCAATCAAGACGAGGTGAGTGCTTCCCCGTCGCCCTCGACCAAACCTTGGTACATGTCTTGCCACCTGTCAGCCTTGACCGGTCGACCAGTCGGGCGTCAAGCCGTGGGCGATCCTCACCGCTGTTCATTTTAATTCCAGGTGCTCAATGCCGCCGTGGAGTTTACGGGCGACGGTGTGGCCACTCTTTCTGTCGATGAGCGCTTGGTTGGTCCGCTGACTACCTCGCATGGCATACAGTTGTAAAAGAATATCCTCACCCCACACTTGCCTTTGCGTACACAGACAATCGCCAACATGACAACTGAATGGGGTGCTTTGGCTGGGGTGTTTCCTTGGGACGAGGCGCTGCGAAATTGGTACGAGGCGCGCCTGCAGTCTTGGCAGGCACGCGCCAACACCCTGGCTCAGCAGGCGGCTCGCCAGCCCGCGTCACGTATTTCATCATCCGACATTGAGTAAGCCTTTGTCTGACTCCTCGCATACAAGCGCAGGCGTCTGGTTTGTCACGTAAACTCAATCCTCTGTATATAATCCGGATCAGAACCTGGAACCAACACCCTCTGCGTGCGGATGAGGATGCCGTTTATGCCGCGGTAAGCTTGTTGGGTAGCCCACCTTTTGCCGTCTATCTGCGTTCGTCGCTCGAAAAGCCCACTCTTCATTTTCACGCTCTGGGCCAGGAACTCGAGCTGGACCTGAGCTCGGTCGAGCCATGCGTGGCTGGTCCCAACTCCGTCAAGGCCATGCAAACTGTCAGCCAGCTTGAAGCGCAACACATCAAGGTGCACAAGGTATGAGTTTCTCTCGGGGGCAGCTCGATTGGGTAGCTCGCTTGATACTCATCAGCCGGCATGGGTGTTTTGTGCGGGCCTGTGAACCTCTTGGAGCATAGGCGTATCTCGTGTCATGTGTCAACGCGCGCGCATCCGACCTGGCTGCAGCGGCTGACGTGTTGCGGGGCAAGAAGATTGCACCAGTACGGCGGCTTTGCTTGCTTCCCAAACAACACCAGCCTGTTTGGCATGGGTATATGTCAACCAACTGTCGCCATGTCGCCCCATCATAGCATGTGGAGTTTTACGTGGCCCCGGCATCGCGTGAAGTGCTGGAGACTGCGCAACACCAGCGCGTGTGGGATGACCTGCTGGCCGCGGGCTGCACGCCCCTGCCTGCAGGTTGTGGCCCTTGCATTGGCCTTGGTACCGGTGCGTCCAGCATAGCCATTTAGCTGGTGTACATGCTGTTCTCTTATTTTTCTGCTCACGCACCTGGGGGTGAGGGCATGATAGGCCTGCTGGAGGACGGCGAGGTGGGTATCTCTGCCACCAACCGCAACTTCAAGGGGCGCATGGGATCTCGCAATGCCGACGTACGTCTTGATCCCCGCGCCGTGGCCCTGTGCTTGCTCAAACGCCGTCCTACGCTTTGGTCCCCCAAATTCGTGGCCAAGCTGACTTTGGCTCCCTGTCTGGTGATGAATGAATTTATGCTGTGGTTTTGGGACAGGCCTATCTGGCGTCCCCTGCAGTGGTAGCAGCCTCGGCCCTGTCGGGCTACATCTGCGCGCCCCCGGGGGCTCCCACTGCAGGGTCGGCGCTGGTGGCGCGTGTCAAGCACAGCAACGAAGCGATCGCGCCGGCCCAGCCTACGGGCACCTCACGCTTTGTGTCCGGCTTTCCTGAGCACATTAGTGGTGTGCCCGTGTTTTGCCTCGACGACAACATCAACACGGACGGCATTTACGCTGGCAAATACACGTATCGTGAAGATATTTCGCCTGAAGAGCAAGCCCGGGTGCGTCTCACCTGACGCACGCCTGTCTGGCTGCTTCCATAAGCCCTACCTGACTTGCATGCTTGCCGGCCTGTTCACTGGGTTACTGGTGGACGTGCAGGTGGTCATGGAGAATTACGATCCCCAACTGGCTCCGCGCCTGGCCGGTGTGCGTTCAGTCTTGGTGGCTGGTGCCAACTTTGGCACTGGCAGCTCTCGCGAGCAGGCGGCCACCGCTCTCAAACACGGTGGGTCTGCGTGAAATGTGTGCCTGCATCGAATGCACCCCGGCTCTTGTGCTTCCTTTGGTTCTTTTGGTTCTTCTTCTTTTTCTTCTTTTTCTTCTTCTTCTCGATCCACTGTTGAGGCTCACAGCTGGTGTGGCTGGATTGGGCCGGGTGGGGGGAACCGGGGGCCGCTGTAGCTGGCGTGCAAGCCGTGATTTGCGAGAGCGTGAACGAGACTTACAAGCGCAACGCGCTGAACAACGGCCTGCTGGTGCTGGTCCAGCCCCGCTTTATCCAGGATGCCAAGGTGAGCGCCGCGCCTTCGCGTGGCTGGCATGGGCAAGGAGCGTGTAGCCACTCATGTTTGATTGCATACTTGCGACATCACTTTCCGGGGTAGGCTGCGTTTGCGACTCGGGATGCCAATCATGCGATTCTGGGAGAACCCGAAGGACCGCTGGAGCTGGACTTTTCCCGCAACGCCATTGTGTGGTACGGCATGTGGCCCCCCTTTTCGGGATCTCCGATGCCGAGGGCTGCGTGAAGCTCAAAATGCCGGTGTGCGCTCACTCACCGCACCCTGTCATGGCCTTGGCGGTATGAGATAGGAACGGCAAGAGCTACCCGATTGACCCCATCAGTCCGACCGCTCAAGAGCTAATTGTACTGGGCGGTCTCGAGCCGTGGATTCGCCACGCACTGGCTGCGCGCTCTGCTTAGCAAATTGACAGTTGACTCGTTGTTGGGCACAGTCGCGTCGGGACGCCTTGCCAATGGCACAGCCTCAAGCCCAATGTCGTCATGACCAGGGCAGTGGGTAGAAAGGTCTTGCAGGGTGGGGTGTCATATATTGTGTCGACAAGGGCACTCATTTCAATCCACAGTGCACCGTTGCGAACGGTTTGTTCGGAGCATGTGCGTGCTCAATACGACCGTCAAGCGCATCCCAATTAGTAAGGGCGGAAAGGGGTTTCTGACTGCCGGCGGGGTGCGTGATTGGTGCGACCATCTTGCCCGTGCCCATCTCCCCTTTCTCCCCCTGACACACTCCGATGACGTATTTATTTATTTCTTTATTTTATTTTTTGTTTTCATTTATTTGATCTGTGCGCCGTTTGTTCACATGCCCGACGCCCCGACACGAGGCTGCATCGGAAAGGGTATGACTCAAAACACATCAAGATGACTTGGGATGGCCTGTCATGCTTGCTGAGCCAGAGCAACGCATGGCTTTGCTCTTTTGAGAGAAATCGGGGACATCGGCTTTTGTCTTTTTACGTGGCGGCAAATGTGACTGATTCGGTCGTAGCCACCAAAGCAGCCGCAATGCGGCGCCAAGAGGGCTCTGAGCGTGGGAGAGAGCCAAAGGTTGCGCATCGAAAACATCATCTATTGCAGTGTGCTGCAGAAGTATATACTGTACACGCACTCACACACAGGGCTCAGTTGGGGAGACAGCTGGCTTAAAGAAAGGAAACGGGAAAGGGGCAAACGCCACAACCTCTCCCAAACACGACAAGAATAGTCAGTGTGACTTGAGGAGTAATCCAGCTCCTAATAAGGACCACGGAAATCACAACATACGTTGGACGTGGGCTCACAAAACAAGACAAACACGTTCAACAAGTCAATGGGATCGTAACACGGGAATAAAGACTGCAAGTTAAGGAAATAAGGTAGAGGGAGGGAGAGCCGAAAAGGGAAAGGTGAACATTGGAGTAAAAATCGTGGAGGCAGCCAAGCTGCGAACAGTGAAATATGTTAAAAAAAAAAAGGTGGCACTCAGTCAAGCCGAGACACGAGACCGTGCAATCATGGATGGAGAAAAGGATACAAAGACGGGGAGAAGTTGAGCGGTGGAAAAGAGATCGAGGAACTCGGCAGGAGCGCTGCAAGCGCCAGCACTGTCAGTGCAAAGAAGCGCACCATAGGGTATGACGCCTCATCGCTACACAAGAGTGCAAGGAGAACCTCTCATGTGGGTAAAGAAGGGGGACGGGAAAAGCAACGATCCGTTGCATCGACCAAACAAAACATCAATGCCACAAAATGGCAACCAGAAGCACACGGACAGAGAACTAACAGGTAAACATACACAGATCACGAGGGTGAAGACAAATGAGCTCCATAAAGAGACTCAATAAAAAAAAAAAAAAAGAGAGAGAGAGAGAGAGAGAGAGAGCGAGAGAGCGAAGGGTAGCGCGTCGTTTTCACAACCGAAAAACAAAACAAACAAAAAACAGGCCAAGCGTGATCGGGTCGGTCGGGGTGATCACGGATGACCGGGCATGTCTAGGCCCTCAACTCATGTCCTCACGAACATTGCACCCTAGGATGACGGGAAGGTCAAGGTGGGCGGCGCAGCCGCAGTGGGGGTGGGAGGGACGCCAAAATTGCCCAAGGGACCGACGTCCGAACTGGGAAAGTTGCTTGCACTCTGGCTCGTGGACATGTTGTTCTTGTTGGTGGCGTGGGCAGAGGGAGAGGCTGCACCGGGCAGACTCAGGCCGGGGCCCTTCTTGTTCATGCGGTTCTTCTTGTGGGGTGGGATGACGCCTTTAAAGGTGGGAAGTTGAATGCCAATGTTCTGGCTTTCCTCGTCAACGCAGGTCCAGCCCGAGGGTTTGACCTGGCGCTTGGCCGCCAGCTTTTCCTCGTATCGCTGCAGTTCGCCCATAAAATCGAGGTTTGGGGCGATGCAGGGACGACGCTCCTTGACGGTCGAATAGGCCGCGTTCAAGTCCAGCTCGCGAAAGGTCATGAGGTAAGCAATGGCCACGGTGGCCGAGCGAGAGATGCCGGCCACGCAATGCAAAAGCACGCAACCCCCCTCCGCACGGCACTTGTTGATGTATTCAAAGGCATCCTCAAAGCATTTGCTCATGTCCTGGTTCCATGAGTCACGAATGGCAATTTGGTGGTAGCCAAATTCGGGGTACTTTCGTGAGTCATGGGTGGTCAGGTTGAGGACGTGGGTGACGTTGAGGCGCTTGAGCAGCTCACGGTTTTCGGCGTGAGCCTCGGCGCCGACGTAGAGATAGGGCAAGATTTGAGCTGGGGCCTTGTCGCGATGGTGGCGTTCAATGGGCGTGCTGGGGGTCATGTTGCGGTCGAGGCTCAGGGAAGAGAGGGAGAGCGCCGCTTGGGGTGGGGTGTTGTTGGGGTTGGCTTCACAAAAGTCTACCATGTCCTGAAAGCCGTTGAAACCGCCTGGAAACGTGATGCAAAAGCGATTGTCGGTTCATCAGATGGGTGAGTGAGTCGGATGGCATGGAGGTGCGAAGAGGTATCAAATGGGTCCAAGGGAGGACGGATGACGTACCACGTAGGAAGCGAACGTGATAGTTGGAGTTGAGGAGGTGTTGTACGGTGACGTGGAGCGAGTTGCGGTGATCGGGCTCGCTAATGTCGAGCTCGGTTGTGTTGTTGTCGTAGACGACAATGACGGCATGTGGCCGGCTGGTGCGTTCGCGGAAGATGCATTGCGAGGCTTCGTCGATCAAGAGATCCAGCACGCTGACCTTGTTCTGGCGAAGCCGGCGCAGCAAAATACTGGAGAAACGGAGGGTAAAGGCGTTTTTAATGTGTCCCACGACGTAATCGCTGTAAGGACGCACGTCCAACACCACCAAGCGATCAGTGTCCGTCTCCATGAGCCCCATGAGCTCTTCGGGCTCGATGGGCAGGTTGTGATCCAGCTGAACGCTGTCCGGGGAGGAGGGGGTGCCGTCCATGGTGTCGCGAGAAAAAGGAAGAAGAAAAAAATGCCAAACGATTTGGCGTAGCACCCAAAATAGAAACCTCAGAGAGCACGAGTTGCACGAGTCGTCGCCGTATCTCAAGGAACCCAACAACAAATACTCAAGGACTCAAGGGGGGGAGAGACAGAGAGAGAGAGGGGGGGGGAGCAAAGCTGCTCTTTGATGCGCGTCAACCAGTTTGCAGCGTCAAGAAACAAGAAACAAAAGAAAGAGAGGGAAAGAGCGAGAGAGAAACGAGGTTCTTTTGTTCTTTGTTTCTTCAACAACGACGTTTCGTTGACGAGATGACAACAAAAGAACCACAAAAGGGGCAACAAAACGGGGAAAGGCGAGCGTCCCGAATGGCTTGAGCCGAGGAGCAGGTGGCTCAACGAGGAGGTCTGGGGGCGAGTGGCAGCCCGGTAGGAGGAAGGCTTGTTGGGTAATCTAAGGGAGCATCAGAGTCAGCAAAGTAAAAGTGAGCAAGGCGGTGTCATAGGCGAGGCGTTATAAAGGAGCAGGCCAACGAAGGAAGAAGCAAGCAAAAGGTGCTCAGTGCAGGGGACACGGCGGCGAGGCTTCAAAAGACCAGCAAGGACGAGCAGAAGAACAACAACCTCAACAAAGGCGCAACATGAACCAATAAAAAAAAATGGGCGACAGCCGGTGCTAACTGCTTTGGCGCCATTCCCCACAAGACAACACGGCAAGAGCCGAAAAGTGTGATGGCGGCGGGGGTGGGTTGGACGAAGGAACCTGGCATGGGGATAGGGTGTGTGTGCCAGGACCAAGCCGGAATGTCTTGTGTCTCAGAACAGTGTGATGGAAAGGTGTGGTGATGACGAGCAGCAGAGAGGTGGCTGCCGTTTGGAACTTGACAGGTGTAAAGGTGTTATGTGTGTATGTTATGTGTGTGTATGTGTGTCGCCGACGGCGAGGAGGAAGATTGACACATACAGACGGCGCTGTCAGCCGACACAATCAGGCAGCCAGTTGACAAGCAGCAGGTGCATGTGTGTGCGAGCGGAGACCCCAAGTCCAACAGCAAGCGTTCAGCGCCAAAAAAAAAAAAGCAAAGCAAAGCAGAGAGAGAGAGAGAGAGGGAATAGGGGGTTCTGAAACACCAAGACACCCCAAGCACAGCAAGCCCATCTACACCAAACGGCAGACCACCCAGCCAGGCAGGCAACCTGGTCCAACTACCAAAGGGCATCCCCTAACCCTCCCCTTCCCTTCCGTAAGCAATACATACAGATATTAATAGCCGGATCCGATAAAAATAATCGAAAAAAAAAAAGCGCCCTCGAACCAGTAGCACGAGAGGCATTCAAGAGAAGAAAAATGGCAGTCAACAACTCCTTTTGTCTCTCTCTCTTCGGGTGGTAAGCGCGTCCCCTTTTCTCTTTCTCTGTGTGTGTGTGTGTGTGTGTGTGGGGTGGCGAAGTGCTCAGTGTTAAGGACAAAGGGCAAGCCCGAGTTTACCTGACGACAACTGTGGAAAAATGACAGGCAGGGGGTAAGTCGGTGACCTTTGAAGGGGAAAGAAGTGTTAAGCTGCTAGTTGTCTTTTTTTTTGGCTTTTTTTCCTTTTATCGTCGCTCCCAGTTGGGGTTTGCTTAGGCGGAGACACATGGGTGTCTGTGGGGGCGGAGGCGGCGACTCGGGACGGGCAGCCGGGGCCAAGGGGGTGTGCAGGAGGCGTTGGTCGTCGGTACGCTCTATCCCGGCAACACACGACTTGTCGATTGACCGTGCCCAGTCGCGCAGCCGTCACAGTAAGTAGCAGAAGAGGTAGAGGGAGTAGCAAGAGTTGAAGAACAGGTTGAAGAAGAATAGGCGTTTGGTGGGAAGAAGATGAAGACCAGGCAACAGAAGATGAACAAGAACAAAAGAACAAAAGAACAGAACAAAAGAAAGTCAAAAGAACAAAAGAACAGAACAAAAGAACAAAAGAACCCCAACAACGTAAGCAACAAAAGAACACACACACACAGAGCCCAGACAAAAGCCGTGAAGTGCAATGGGGTTTCCCACAGTCAACATGCAACACGTCCTTCAACGTGTTGCAATCACCAACGCTCGACAAGGGAAAAAGGCTTCCTGCAACAGTGCGATGACGTAGGCCTGTCACAGGCGAAAGGCGTTGTTGAGCCTGAGTAAAGAAACCATAACAACATCAGGCAAGACCGTTGGCGTGGGACCCTCAAAAAGTCCAAGAAACGCGCTACACGGTCAAAAAGCTGGATCAACCCAAAGCCCAAAGCCATGATCAAAGTGTTGCACACTCCCAAAAGAGCTGCATGCGTAATCGTCCCACTTAAATCCCACATTTGCATCTGCATCGCCCCATGTTGAGCTCATACCTAAATGGGTCTGGTTCCGTGATGACCAGCACCCGTGTCGTTTTCATGAACAATAACATCTCACCTCACTGGTGGCTTGAACGATCACAATACGGAAGACAGATCATAAGTCCCAACCTCAACTTTGCGGAACATTGCCTCACTGTGTCTTGCTAAGAACCTTCATGATCAAGCCAACATCATGACTTGCACGACGCGATGTCTTCTGAGATGACGTTATGGGATGTGCCTGTCGTCGTACAATCCCTGCCTGATGACGATTGACCATGCACACAAAGTCGTGCCCCGAAACCCTTTCTCCGTTCATACACGTGTTGTGCAAAACAACACACACTGAGAAGCGTAAGAAAAAGTAAAAAAACTCAAACGCACAGCAATCACGAGCGAGCGTACGGCAAGCTCATGAAGCACCACAAGCGCAAACCATGCCAGCCTCACAAGTTGCTTTACATCCAAAGTTAATCAGAATCTGATCCGATGTTTGCCAAGAGCGATCAGGATGGATGGCATCACGGTTTTTTTCTCCCTCTTGTTTTTTTTTTTCGACAGCAAGCGCCGTGCCTGGACGATACGCGTTCGGACCATCTTTCTGTTCTGCCAGATCATTCCAAAGACCTGCAAACGCATCCGAATCAACCTTCAAGAAACAGGACGGAATTCACGACGGCCACCAGGGCCGTCTGCGACTGGAGACCCGCGCCAACCTTCACGAGGACATCTCTAGACATTTCTTGAGAAATCACCTCATCTGTCCTATTTAGCAACAACAATTCTAGATAACCGTTGACATAAACCCCAAAATTCTACAGACATGGAGGCTTACTACACCCAGAACCTCCCGAGCCCATGCTCTGCCTTGCCCATGCCGCTGTCGGTTTCCGGAGAACTCGTGGCGTCACCAAGGTTAGAACGAGCTCGTCACCAGAACATGCAAAAACCATCACTCAATTTTGATGACATTGTTGCCGAAGAAGTTTAATTTACAGTGCCGGTAGCTGATTCTGAAAAGTTAATTATCTGACTTTTGCCACACAACCCAACCCGCGGCCTTTGAACGAGCCTGCGCACGGACCCTTCTGGCTTGGCTCTGCGCTGTGCTGGACCAGCTATGGTGGCCTCGGGAAGCGTGTATGTCAATACACATCCAACAAACACCAACAGATTCCTGGCGTGAACTGCGTAATGTCAGGGTCTGGACGAGACCGTCACGACCGATGCGAGCCATGCTCAGCCGGCGAGGCACTTTTCATTTTCAATTGGCGTGCGATTGCCATGGGCACAAAACAAAACAAAAAAAAAGGGGGGGAAGAAAGAAACAGGGGAGGACGGAGAAAGTAAACAAATAGGACAAACAGAAAATCCATCAGAGCACGCCGTGAGGGGACTCCGGCGGGTACTGTGATAGGCACAGCGACACTACCTTGGCAACTCGCGTCAACCTGCGCAACGTGCCAACTTTTCCTCGGTCCTTCCTCGTCCGACAAGACCTTCAGACAAGACCGGCCTGCTGATCGACAGGAATGTGTGATCAGGAAGCATGCGAACCATCAACCGCTTAGCGGCCGCTGCGGGAAAAAGTGCGTCCCGTGATGGTTCGCTTCTCCTTGCTCTCCGAGTCGGGTCGAGCACGGTTCAGAACCTGCCATCCACCACCACCGCACGAACAAGGCATCAAAGAAAACGAGCGTGAGGGGCGGGGACACCAAGCACGCTTCAAGGCGGGAGGAAGTAAACAATAAGCTTAAAATAAAAATGAAATGCGAGTTTATAAAAAGAAACCACCCCCACCTTGAGCAGCTCAGATGTGCGAGCGCGCATGCGCTGGTGCAGGTATGCCTTGCTGCACTTGATGTGGTAATGCAAGTAGTCACGGAAGGTATGCAGCAAGTCAATCGTCGAGTCCTTCTTTGCTCCCTCAAAGTGGCGAGGAAACAGCACTGCAATGGTGTCGCACATGAGAACAGTGAGTGTGGATTGCCACAACGACGCGCCTTTGTCCACTGACAGACACTGACAGACACTGACAGACACTGACAGACACTGACAGACACTGACAGACAGCAGACAGCAAGGGAAGCCTCGTACACCACTCGGCAACAGAATGGTCAGAGACTGAAACCATTGGCCCCTCTGAAACGCACCCACACTACCACCACCACCACCACTAACAGCAACAGCAACAGCAACAACAACAAGGAAGCAAAGTGCAGGGCACGAACCAAAGGTGACATAGCCGACATTCTTGCCACTGAGAGCACCTGTGCCCTCGAGCTCGCGCGGCGGCTCCAGGTAGGAGAAGAGCACCTGGGGTGCCTGCGGGTTCTTGCCACGGACATCCTTAAAGGCCTGCATGAAGACCTTGCCAATCACAACGTCGTCGGCGTCTGAAAAAAGTGTGCTGAAAATGACCGTCACACGATCCTTGAGGACGTTGATGTACAGCGTTTCCTGGTCGCGAAACTGCAGCACCGCCTTTTCATCAATGTTGCCCGCCTGCTGCATGCTGAAGAACTTTTCAAACAGGGCCGCAAAGCAGTTGCGGCGCAGGGAAGCCGCCTTCATAATGGTCACGGTGGGGTCCGCACCCATGGCCGCAAGGTCGACCACAATAGTTACATCGTAGCCTGGTTTTTACAACAAATAAAACCCCAAACGCAGACCATGAGTGAGTAGGTGGACCCAACGGCGCTGCCGTGATCAAGCACCCATCTACTCGTCAACATCACAAATCGGCCACGAGCACAAGGGCACAAGGGCGAGAGCGAAAACACCAACGCAAACCGGACAAACAAGGTGCTTCACGAATATCACATGCGCAAGGAGATACGAACCGCTTTCGGGAGCCACAAGCATGTCGCCGTACTCGCGCTTCATCAGCTGGAGGGAATCAAGACACGGCGCCGGTCAGCTCTTGTCAGGATGTTCATTTCAGCGGCCGGGATCTAAGCGAGCTGCCCTACCTCGTTGACACCATGCGGTTGCAGCTCATGATAAAACTTGACGCCCAGGCTGATCTGAACCTTGTTGCGATCACCCTCCGGATTGGACAGGTGATACAGAGCACCATCAAAATCGGCAATGGTCACCTCCACAGGGTCCACCTATTCGCAGCAGCACATGACGCGCCTTGAGCCTCTCAGCATCTGAATCCGTCTGAACGCTCGCACAGGAGTACATGGCATGACCGGTGGCTTCCGGCACATGGGTCCACAGGTGTGCCCTTGGTGCCTGCCAGCCCCCCAAAAAAATTCACAGAACAACGATACGCGACCCGCAAACAGGTCATGGCCACTTGCTACGCACTTTCTCCTCCTGCAGCTGGTTGTGGCGAACTTCAAGGGTTTCCGCGATGATGCGGTTCTGCAAAATCATGATTGGTATTCGAAGCGAAGGTGCTGCAAAAGTCAGGAGAACCCCTGTACATCAAGTGTTTTCAGTGAATACTGATGCAGAGTTTAAAAAAAAAACCCGAAAGTGAAAACACACGCGCGCGCGCGCGCGTACAAGAAAACCAGAACGAGATACAGAACTGAGACAAGGCTAAAACAACGCGCACAACAGGGCCCAAGGCACCAACACCAGATCTCCAGGGCTGTGGCTCAGAGAAGGGTGCGCGCGCGCGCGCGAGCCGCGCCCCTTGACACTGAACCAGTCACCCGACGAGAGCCAAGAGCAAGAACAAAATCGCTGATTGAAAGCTGATACGTACCGAGACCAAAACGAAGCTGGGTCGTTCCCAAGGCACTGCTACCACAGAGGCTATTACTTGTCGTCCCACCGGAAGCGTGAGCTCAAAAGCACCGACCGCACGAGTTGGTCCGGGTCAAAGACGGTCCGCGAGCCCCAAAAAAAAAAAAAAAAAAAAAAGACAAAAGCTTCGGGTGACCAGCTGGATCCCAGAACAGAAAACAAAAGGATCACTGGGTAGAGAAGGGTGCTCAGGGCGGAGAGGTGGCAGAGAGCGGGCTGTTTAGGCTTCGATCCTCAGAGAATGATATTCACATGCATGTTACATACGTTAAAACTTGTGCCAAATTAGAGAAACAATACAGCTGTTTGCTTGTTTCAGAGATGAACAGAGGACTATTGTCTCTCCGAAGAGAAGCGGGATGCTTCATCGTCCAACTGGCTCCTTTGCCAATCGCTTGGTCAAAACGGCTATTGATCCAGCACCGACTTTCACTACCTCCAACTATTCAAAAATCTCACTGTTGCTTGCAAGCATATTCCCGAGCCGCTACCACATTGCGATCTCATACGTAAAAAGTATTATACTTAAGTTCCTTATGATGCTTTCAGAAAAAAGTATTTTACTACTTTCCAAGTCAACTACCGGTCGTTACAGAAAAAAAAAAAAAAAAAAAAACAATGAGCCGCGTGCAGCTGGAGTCGGACGACTCCGACTCCTCTGCGGGCTCACCGGAGCGACAGGCGGTGTCGAGGACGTCATCGCAGTCTGTTATCGAGTCCGTGGACCCCAGAGCCTTGCGCAGCCAGACCAGTGCCAGCCTGCGCTCGGCTACACATCAAGCAGCCCGTGCTCCAGCTCAATTGGAAGCAAGCTCGGATGATTGGGACGCTCCAGACTCGGAGGACGACGTGGATCTCTATGGCCGCCCTGTCGCCCGAACCGCCAGCAGCAGCAGTGAACATGAGAATGCAGATCTCGAGGAGGCTGGTACTCTCGCTTCAGGCCATGGCGCTCCTCGCGAACAACAGGAACAGCGGCGCCGCCGGACACGAGCAGCGTCCGGCAGCGTCCGGGCGCTCCAATCGCTAGCCGCTGCACGCCGAAGGCGCGCCGATGTTCAAAACGCCACTGTGGAGCACGCCCGGTCACCCACAAGCCCCCAACGCAAGCGGGTGCACCGCGACCAATCCACCAGCGCCGAGTTGGCCGAACCCAAGCACTCCAAGCTGTGGAAGTATCGCGAGGCCCACTCCACCCTCAACCGCACCAGCAGGTTCATCCCCGAGTAAGTGCTCCCTCCTGGTGGGCATTGCCATGTGGAGGCCGTTGCTGATGCTGCTCAATCCTCCGGCTCATGGACTGCCCTGGATACAGACACAGCGCATATAACCACGATCTACGCGAAGTGGAGGACCTGGCCGGTTTTATAGCCAGCGACGACGAGGAAGGTGAACACGCCGCCCGTGCGCGGCGAGGTCTACGCCATGATGAAGCCATTCTAACAAGCGACGTAACTACTGCCACACCAGTGCGCAGCACTCGGCGGCGCTCCCGCCCAGCCACTGCCAGCACCACGCGCCCCTCGCGATCTGCCTCGGATTCCGTAGCCCGCGCCCGACCACATCGCCTGCTCTTGCCAGACTCCGATTCAGAGAATGAAGCGGCACCCGGCCCCAATATCAATGCTAGTCAGCCGCCCGTCCCGGGCATGCCCTCCTTTTCAACTGATTCCGACTCGGACCAAGGTTCTGATGACCCAGGTACCGCGCCTAGTGGCGGGACACATGCCGTCGGCATCTTGCTCGACGACTCCAGCGATGATGACCATACTTCTTCAAAGAAACCTGAATCTGGCCGTGCCAAGTCTTTGTCTGGTGCGCCCTCCCCCACCGATGAGGCAGGATCCGGGCCTGCGGACGACGGTTCAGCTGAGCGACACTCACATAGGCTTGAAGCTCGGCTGGCGGCGAGCCGCCGAAACCAAGCTAATCTCCGCCGGGTATGGCCCAAATGACTCGCGTTCATACCCACGCGCTTGTAGCGTGTGTCGCCTCTTTTTCTTGCCTTGCCACTCACCATGATACTTTGCGCGAGCAGGTTTTTGGAGCTGGCTCTTCGAATGTAAAAGACTCAAATCCACGCCAAATAGAACGCGTGCGTCGCTCCCTTCAAGGGCCACTGGCCTCTGACGATGATGCCTCAAGCTCGAGTAGCACGGTCGCTGCCATCTCTGACGACGAAGACGCGGCTTGTGTTGCTGCCGCCAGACTTTTCGACGAGCCGCGCCGCGGATCGCAGTCACAGGCGGTGCCACACGCTGATCAACGTGTCTCTGAGGAGGACTTTTTCGTCAACAGTGACGAGGAAGGGGAAGGCGATGGCACCCATCGTCACTTTGAGTACGAAAACGCTGCCATCGTCGCGCAACGCACGCGCTCAGTCCATCTGACCTTTGCATCATGATTGGATGATCGCGCTAGATGCCCATGTCAGCATGACGCCCCGTACATGGGACGACGCCTCTTCTGCCGTCAAGAGCTGTGTCGGCGCATGCAGCATGCAGCCTGTTTCAACCGCCCTGAACGCCGTGATCGCAGTTTGCCCCCGCATATTTGCCACGTTTGCACCAAAGTCGTGCGTTCTTCTCTGTTACCTGCGTCCTCGAAAGCCTCGGCCAACTTACCGACTGGCGTTTTGTCGGGCAATGGCCTGTGACTCTTACACAACCCTCTCCCTCTGCCCCGCCCCGCCCCCTTGCCATACACTTTGCTTTCTGTCTGTTCATGTCTTTTTTCAGGTTCCAGAGGTACCCGCTGATCGCACAGCCCTGTGGACTGCTGTTGAGCACGACGACCTCAACGAGGTGACCAAGCTTCTGAACCAACAAAGAGGTATGATTCGAGCGTGTGGTCAGACCAAAACGTGATGAGACTTGTCCCATATCGACATCAATGGGTGCAAACCCAACCTACGCCTTGCCCGCTCACCTTCTCTTCAATTTTTTTTTTCCGTATGTGCTTGTTTCTTCTTGACCAATCTGCTTCGCGTAATTTGCAGTACCCGCAGACATTTGCAGCTATGATCACGACGGCATGACGGCGGTCATGCTGGCCGCGCGCCGCGACAATTGGCCGATTGTACATTGCTTGCTCAAACACAAGGTGCCTGTCTGCTCTTGTACCCTCAGCGGAAGTGAGAAGAATCTTGGTTGCCCTCCACCCTCACCTTGTTGTCCTATGTCTGTGTGGCGCTGCTCCTTCCCTGACCGGTTGCTTGGGTCCAGAGTCGTGTCAGCCGTGTCGACTTGAACAACTGGACCATCCTCCACCACGTCATCGCCACGGATGCCGACCGTGTGCTCCAACATCTCCTCGACGTCGTGATGGCTGGCCGCGAGCCCTTGAATCAGCCTCAATTCAAGGAGCGCCTCGATGGAAGCAATCTGCTGCACCATTGCGCAGCTTACAACGCTCTGCAGTGCTGGGCCGTCATGCTCCGCTATGCGCGTCTCAAGCAGGCCATGGGCGCTTGGGTCGACAAGCCCGACCATGAGGTTCGCTCGTGCTCCGTTTGGCCTTTTGGTTTTGCTCGGCGCTTCAACTCACTTGTTGCCTGTTTGCAATCGATAATTCATGAATAGGGCATGACCCCGCTTTTTACTGCCCTGCGAGCTGGGCACTTGACAATGGCCCAAAAGCTTTGGCCGCGCTCGGTTGCTACACGAGACAGCACGGATGCCCACCGGCGCACAGCCCTGCACCTGGCTGCAGAGGGTGGTACGTACCGCTTGTTTGAGAAGGCGTACCTGGTAATTTCCCAGCTCAACCCCCTTGACCTCTCCCGGCCATCATTATGACTGCTGTAGGCAATGCTGAATGTGTGCGCCTGGTCCTTGATGCATCAAGCAGCGACGTGCTGGAATCGCGCGACGCCATGGGCTTTACCCCCCTTATGGTGGCAGCACAAGTGGGCGCAGAAGCGGCTCTTGAATGCCTCATTGCGGCCGGCGCCCAGGTCGAGGCGTTTGATCACGAGGGCACATCTGCCTTGCACGTGGCTGCTTTGGGTGGCCATACCGCTGCCGTCAGTCTCCTGATCAAGGCGGGTCATCGAGTTAATTTTGTAGACCACCACGGCTGGCCTCCGGTCCTTTATGCTGACTTTGAGGGGGCATCGGACCTTGTCTTTATCCTTTTGGAACCCGAGCCACTTCAGCTGCGGTATCTTGCAAGTTTCATCAGTAAACGCTCGAGCACAAATGTGAGGCATCGAGTGGGATATTATGGTCGCTGCTCCTTTTCTCCGAAAGGGTTCATGCCGTTCCTACAAACCTGACTTTTTGTGATTTTGTGGTGACGTGGTTTCAGCCGCTCCGGGAACGAGCCATCGCCATCTTGAAAACCATCTCAACCACGGTATGACACTGATTGCTGCATTTAACAAGCGCTGGTGGAATGAATTTCATGCAAACTGCTGTTTTGTGGCCCTTGGCCCGTGTTCTCTCGAGCAGGAACGATACTTTCGCTTCCTGAACGATCTGGTGCGCCAGCATCCCGCAATGCTGGATACAGACCTGCATTTTCTACTCTATCAACGAGGCCTGTTGGACCTTGACGTCAAAACCGCTTGGCTGCGTCGCAAAGTGCAAAACGAAATGCCCCGTTCCCTCGCAGTAAGATGCCGTCGATCGCTCCGCTTCAGCGTCGAGTTTGAGAGCTTCCAGTCTGCTGCTCGACCACGCTCACGGCGTTCTGCTTGATAGCTTCATGTTCACCGACAACGCCTTTTTCTGGATGCAGCCGCTGTATGTCCATCACTGCCTCAAATACAACCCCCCCCC